TTTCTCCCCTCATGATCTTTCATTTTTGAGTTGCACCCGTTGAGAGCCGCGGATCTAGAGTGTCATACTTTCAGAGCTGTGATAAAGAGCAAACCAGTGAGTCTGTTATGGACCTTTCTTTGTGTTTGAGGACTTCATTAGTCATTTAAAAGGTGATCTCTGAGGGGAGGTTGATGTATAAAAGGGTTTGGAGTGTTTGCATGTTTATTATAATGCACTGTGACTGAATCAGGGATGTGGGTTTGTGATTGTGTTCAGATGCAACTTTCAAACTTGTACTTTTGAAACTGTAAATGTGTTTGATATACAGTAGCAGTCGCTCTCGATTTCTTTCTCTCGTCCGTCTCTTGCTGTTTCTCCTTCTCCTCCCCATCTCGCTTCATTTGTCTTGTTACTGTTGACCGGTTACTTCAGTGTCTCCGGTCACAGATCCTGCCGGACTTTGGCCTGATTTGCATGTTAACCGTGTCTCAGATAAAGAGGCTGTTGTCATGCCAATCAAACATGCAGTTCATTCAGGATTTTCCTTCACATGTGTTAGAAAAGAATGAGAAAGCTTGGGAAAATGGCTGACACCATCAAAGATAAGGGGTTTTTCCATCACATTTACACATGCATTATTACAAGCTCATTAGCAGCAGATGAACGTTCAGAGGATCCAGATGACATGCCGTGATACAGCGTGAGCTGGACCGCTGAGATTATGGGTCATTTCAATACGGGTTTTTGATTCAAAAGGTTCAAAAGTCTCTTCTTCTCACCAAGGCTGCATTTATTTGATCGCTAATACAATAAAAACGGTAATATTGCGAAATATATAAAATAGCTCTTTTCTATTTTGAATTTTACAATGAGATTTATTTCTGTGATGGCAAAGCTACGGTGGCCCTAAAGGGACATGGTGGTGGGAAAAAAATATGAGATGGGAGGAATTTTGCGTTTTCCCCCCGATAAACTTTGCTTTGCTTGCAAAACTGTTGTGTTCTTTGCGAGAGAACACACAAGCATTGACTTATTATTTTTCCTCCCATTTCATATTTTTTCCCAGCACCATGTCTCTTTAGGGGCTCCGTACAAAGCTGAATTTTAGAAATCTTTTGTAATAAAATAAATGTCTACTGTCACTTTCGATCAATTTAATGCAGGAATATAAGTATCAAGTCAAATCTTACTGAGCCCAGACTGTTGGAAGATAGTGTACAAATGTTGAAGGAACACCTGAATCCCTTCCACAAGTCCGGCAGTGAAGGGTTCATGCGAGGAAGTATGCTTATCGTTTATGGTCATGTGACCTAGTCACATCCATTTTAAAGCAAGAAGGCAAAAAATAAATTCTAGTTGTTTGGTTTTGTTTTTGATATTTTACACACATTTTCTATGTCATACATTTTATATGAAGTTTAAATAGGTTTCTGAAATGAGTTAGGTAATGTTGACTACTTGCAGTGTCCAAACATGAGATGGCAGGTTTTAAAGTTGAGAGCAGAGAGGACACACACACACACACACACATACAAAATAATTAGTTTAAGCTGGTGCTTTGTAAATTGTCTTGCATCAGATGGTCGTGAGACTTGTGTGTTGCTTTGTGAATGTGTTTTGTGTGTAATCTCCAGTGTTTGTTTCATGAAGGCATTTATGTTTTGTGATATGCACAAGCATTCCTCATTTGTAAACTGCTTTGGGTAAAAGCAATGAAATAAATAAATGTAAATATGGTGTCGTTACGTGTTATGTTAAATCACAGAAGAATGCTTGAGAAGATCGTTAACAACATGTTTGGGTAGAGATCTGACACACACACTCGCTGTAAAAGCGTCGACAGCAGGCGTTTGGACTGGAGATGCCGATCGCATTCCTTCGCTCAGGTTGCCAGATTGGACTTATTTGGACGAGCGTTTCGCTTTTCCTAGAATAGAAAGATTTTATACGAAGCGAATCCTTGATGTCATGCCTGAGAAGTTAAGCAATGCCATGAACGCGCGTGTGTGTGTGTGTGTGTGTGTGTGTAAGGTGACGCTTCTCAGCTCAGTAGCTGCGTCTGATGAAAGTTTGGCATTTTCTTAGATGTGACTCATTTGCAATTTGCAGAACCAATGACGGGGAAGAAAACCAGGGATGTTTGAAGGAAATACGAATAAGTCTATTTTGTTCAAACGACCAGAAAAGTATCCAGTTATACAACCGAAACTTATAGTTACGTGCGTCTTTGTTTTAAATGCTTACATTTGAACATTATAAAATCTTGTATAATTAACCCAACATGATAGTCTGTGCTGGTAGTACATCCTTGAAATTAAATTGTATGTCCTGGCCGTTACTTTTATGTATATAGACCAGAGAGTTACTTCATTCAGTAACTCTCTACACATTAGACAATTAAAAATAAAAGCGTACAAGAGAGCGTTCCTTCAGTTTTATTCAGAGGTCAGGAAGTCAGATGCTGATAGAAATGGCAAACGAAGTGATTTTTGAAGGTTTCTCGTCTCCTCAGCTCCAGTCCCTGAGGTGCTCAAAGAGGATTTTGCTTCAGCTTTTGAATTTCAAGGCTTACACAACTGCAGTCAAGCAGTGCAGATTTGCCAATGTGACCCAACAGCTCCCGTTGGCTTTAATGAAACCACATTTCCTTGGGAAAAACGAATAATACCCCTTAATAGGGAATATTCAAAATTTCCCTTGCACATTTCAAATTTCACATCTAAACATTTGCTCTGCTTTTGGATGGACTGTCCAACATGAATTATATGAACATAATTAAATGTGCACATAAATACCTCAATAAAATATATACATTGTTATTTTCCAACATACAGTAGTAGAATTTAAATCATACATTGATAATAAAAAAAAGAAAGAACAATCCTTCAAAGTGTAGTTTACTACATCAGAAAACAGCGAAACATATGGGGCTGATTATGTGATGTAAAGATCAAATTATATTAGTTTACAAATCATGCACTCTGGTAAAAGTCTATTGAGATCATAACACACAATTATTCAAGGAACCACATGAAAATGTGTCTATTAATCAATAATGTGCCCATAATCATAATTTGTGGAGTTTTGCAAATATTTTTGTTTTTTCCAATAAGCCTAAATTGCATGTTTTGCAGACGTTGAGAGTTCTAACCAATCACAGACATGCCAGTCATACACATAAATGTAATGTCCAATCAAAGCATAACATCTGGTCCTTAATGAGTGATTTATAAGCAATCTGATCCACACATCTGCGTTTTCACGTCAGTCGGCGATGGCACGTGAAATTGAGATGCTGACGGGACATCACCTGACCCAAAGAAAAATGAACCATTGGTTATTTGGAATTATTCTGGATTTGTTACACGTCGTGCCGCTCGCTTGCAGTGCAGCCGGTCTGACAGCCAATAAAGCGAGGTGTAAATGAGATATTTACTGTGCAGAAGAGACAGCTATGCGGGTTTTAAGGGGAGAATTTGCAAGTCCAGAACTCAGTGAACTCACACTGAACTGAAGGGCTCAAACTGTGCAAACTTGCAGGGACAGCATCAGGGATTTTAATGGTATATCGTCGCGTTGCTCAGTTTCTGGCCATAATTAGAATCGTGTTTCTCATGCTGCCCAGAGGCCCAATGTGAAGGTCACTGTTTAGATGCTGTCTTGATTTACTCATTGTTTAATTAGAGCTTTCAAAAGATTAAAACTTTTAATCGGATTAATTACATGATACGGCAATTCATCAATCAAATGAATCACAAATAATCACATATATCAATATTTGCAGCTGAAACCCCTCTAATTAAAGATAATTTGACTGCATTATTGAGATAGACGAGTAAATCTTTGAATAGGCAATCAAAAATACAGAAAAACAGTAATATTGTGAAATATTATTCCAGTTTAATGGTTAATGAAATATTACTCCAGTCTTCAGGGTCACATGATCCTTCAGAAATCACTCTAATATGAGGATCTGATGCTCAAGGAACATTTCTGATTATTATCAATGTTGAATTTATGAGCATTTATTTGAAATAGAAAGCTTTTATAACTTTATAAATGTCTTTACTGTTATATTTAATGTGTGCTTGATGAATAAAAGTATTAAAAAAACGTTTAAAGGGAGTTTAAAACAATTATATTTTGGTCACATTTTAGGGTCCCAATTCTCACTGTTAACTACGACTTTCGCCTCAATAAACTCCTAATTACCTCTTATTAGTTAGTAAGGTCGTTTTTGTAGCATTTAAGTTTAGGTATTGGGTTGTATTAAGGGATGTAGAATATGATCATGCAGAAAAGGGCATTGATATGTGCTTTAAAAGTACTAATGAACAGCCAATATCCTAGTGATATGCATGCTAATACGTGCATATGTGAGGATTGAACCCTAAACTAAAGTGTTAACTTTATATGCCTACGTTCTGGATATTCAGTGGATATTTTTTTGTATTCCTAAAAATGTACATTTGAGTCAGGAGAACATGATTAATTGCATTAATTTTGTAACAATTTATTTTTAGTAAATAATTAATAACACTAAATGAACATGTTAAATTTACAGCCTTAATTTATATGCAAATTTTCTTATGTGAACACAAGAGTGATTACAGTATCAAGGGAAATAATTGACAATTGTGCAGCTTCTTTTTTTTTAACATTCTTTCTAATTACACCCAATTTTACCAGTTCAGAAATCCATGGCGCTTTTCTCTCTGTTTGTGTTATTCAACTATAATGAATGGTAATTTGGTCTCTCCTGAACATGGTAACTCCACCATTAGCACCAAAACATGCCAATTACACAGTGGCCAACAGAAAAATTAGCACTCTGTAATTCGGGAGCGCTCCGACTCGAGCATCTCGGAGTGAAGCCGAGGGAAGCCTGTCATTTATCGAGCACATTTGTCTCTCAAGAGCTGATGAATGAAGAACAATCAGCTTTTCTCAACACTGGCCTCCACTCAGTGTCTCTGCACTCACTCTCTGTTTTTGTCCTGAATGTAATCAATTACCCTTAGCTGTGTAATATAAGAGAACACGAAACACTCCTCCAGTGCCTTGACAGTCATTTTGTCTTCATCTGTATTGGTGCTTTCTCTCTTTCCCACAGAAAGATTGGTGTATCAGAGAGCCAATGACTCGATGGCTGCTGTAACTCAGTAACTTGGTGTCATCGCACCCTGAAGAGAGGAGAAAATGGACGGGCAGAAAGACTTCAGAATGCTGGGTCAACTTCTCAGAAGGTCAGTCAAGTCCTGTCGTGCTGTTGTGATGCCATGCTGACATTCAGTCTTATCCACAGGTCTGTTGCTGGATGTTTGTGCTTTACCCATGAGGGAGAGCAAGGGCAAGTCTAGCCGCAGGCAGCAATTATGCGGATGAACCCCAAACCCAGATTTACCTGCTCATGCCTCTCCCTTTGGTGGCAGGATGAAAATAAGTTCAAGTCGATTTATATCTTTTTGCCATCATGCATGGGATTATCAGAGCATTGTGGCAATGATACGTACACAGATACGCACGGATAATTTTATAGATAATGACTGGAATCCTGAATTACCTGTCAGGCTTTGTCACAGCAGTCTTATGGAGAAAGAGGACCCTGATGCAGAATGACCAAGGGATTGAATTGTATTGACAAGACAAGGCACAATAGGGATTGTTAAGAGTGAGGATGACCCAAACAGTTAGCCTGGTTGTAACTGAGTTATGGTCTGGCAAAGCGTCATAGACAAATCATTTCCAGAGGGACGTCACCAACGGATGTCGCGGATAGACCTAAACCCAATCAGAGCGATGAAGGAGAGGACGTATGCAGAGCGGCGGAGACACATCTCCGAGTGTTGTTCTTTGCTCGGTTTTTAACAAAAAGGAAACGTTCAAATGGCTTAAAACAGACGCGATAGCTGATTGGAACGAGTGATGTTCGACGGCGGCATCCATCTTTGTAATGTAGGCTACAAAATCTGCTTCAAAATCCCAGCGCTGTCGTCATCGTGTAAAGCCCGCCCCAACGCTTCTGATTGGTGCCGCTATTTCGGCGGATTGGAAATGGGCTTGAATGAGCTCTTTGCCAGACTAACTTTCAGAGCAAATCTAAATTTCCCAGAAGTTTTCTGGGTTTTCCCAGGCAAACAGTAGGACAGGGCAGTCACCAGGAGAAAGGGAAGACCGATGAGATCCGACCCGGGGAAGGCAACGTTTCATGGCCCCCAGAATATTTTGTTGTTTGAATATCTGAACATGCAATATTTCAAAAGAACAGACCCTCTGCTTTAAAAAAAACATGCATTATTTTATAATCAACACTTGAATGTGGGTGAGTTTCACAGAAAGATGTACATATTTAGCAAAAAAATGAGAATATCGCGTTTTTGTCCAATAATACATGTCGATCTGATTCAGAATGATGATCAATTCTGTCAATGATTGGTAAAGAGTTAATGCATTATCTAACATTAACTAATGGGTTTATAAATTAAGTGTTAGCAATTGTATAAGGCACTTGGTGTTTAACCTCTTAACCTTCACCGCCGGCGGGCCCATTTGCCATTGGATGTTTAAAACAATAATATCTTAGTAAAAACCTAAAGTAATATTGCCAAACTATATATCATTTGAAAGCTTAAAATCTCTAGTTTTCATATTTGGTGGCTGTTATCTAAAATAAATTACAGAGGGGCAGTAATTTATCAATTTGCAACAAGAATATTTCATATTCATTAGGAGTATTTAGGCCTTTATTTTGAAATAACAATGAACACAAAAATCATGAAAGATTGGTAGAAACCTCAGTTTGTTTTCATGCCATGAGTTCAAAAGATAACACCAATTCCATTTTATGAGAAAAAAAGGTCTGAAAATGTTTTAAATATAAAGAAAAATGTATGGATTCTCGATTTGTGATTGGCTGCGAGCTATAACGCTATAACGTAGTCTTTTTATGCATTTATTAGAGGTTGAATTCAAATCAAATACTGCCAAACCACCCATACTACTTCTGAATAGGATGTCTACTTCATAAATTGTATGAAAATTATGGAAATACATGCTTCAGATCACTCAAAACATATATGAAAATGGAGGCGCCCTTATATGAGCAGTAATGGAGTCTAGTGAAAAAGTTGGGTACTGCGCCCAAATAAAATCTTACTGAAAGCTCATTTTTTTAGATATCAACCTAAAATTTGGAATACAACTTGTTCAGATTTTTGTCTTTAATTTTCTTGCAGTTTTAGAGTAAAATATATTTTGTAATATATATATTTTATATAAAATATTAATAATTATATTTTTACATTACACAATTTCATAAATTCAAACTTATATAACTTTTTTTCTGTTTCATTTTTTATAATTTCTAGACTTCTACAATAATCTGGAAAATGTCTTCTTTAAAACAAGACCAGCCATAGGTCTATATTCCAAAGCATTCCTTAATTACAACCATTTAAGTTTGGATAGTGATTTTTATGTCTATGCAAAAAAAAAGGGGGGTGCCAGTTAACAGGTTAACACCAAAAATTCACAAGTTAATTTTGTGAGGTTTGGTCTGATGATCTAAGTGAAGATTGGACACACAGTGTAGGACGAATAGAAGAAAACGCTATGCGAATTTGTTCAACATGTTGGAAAGATGGACCTCGCACAACTGATAATCATATTATTCTACACACAAACTTGTATTCAGGCTGAATTATTGAATCAAATACTGTGATCTGTTTCAGTTTAGCATTTCAAAAACCTTTGACTAGCCTGAACAACCACAGGAATTAATAGCGAGTTGTTCCTCTCCAGAGTTTGCAGTAGATGATGGCTGTGGAGATTTGCTCCATTGAGGTCAGGCATGATGTTGGGTGTCGAGGTCTGGCTCTACAATTCATCCTCAAGCTTCTCAGTGGGGTTTTATTCTGGTCTTTATGCAGGCCAGTCAAGTTCACACTAGACTCTATAAGCCATTTCTTTATGGTCTTGGCTTTGTGCACTGGGGCATTATCATGCTGGAGCGGAAAAAAAGATTGCATGGCTGTTCACTGGTTTGTAAGGAGTGTAACTGAAATAGCCAAACATGTTAATTAAAAGATGTCCAAATACTTTTGGCCATGTATTTAAGTATCCGAAACTTGCTAAAATGCTAAAAAGTGAGCATCTCTCACACATCCATAAGTGGTCACTCTCAATGGGAAGATGGAGTCTGAAATGTGCAGTCATTGTTGTACTGGTCTGGTTTTTATATCTGAGCTGACCTAGTTTAATCTCGGTGGGAGGCGATGTTTTTAAGAGCACTAAATGGCCGTGGCACAGGGAAGCCCGTGACCCTTTTGACTCCCAGCGGATCTGCGGTGGCCGAATCGATTCAGCGGTGACAGTGAGAGACCACGTGCCGCCCGAATTTGGATTCCCTAGAGATCCTCCTTCACAAAGGGACACAGATCTTGAACCCTGGAAGTGAGATGATTCCTGCAAAGTGTAAATGTATCCGGACTTGTGTGTAGCAAAATGGCCCAGCTGAGAGGAAGTGAGAAGTCGCTGTTTGGTGGCTGGAATTCAGCATCATTTTCAGTATTTGCAAAGTGATCGTCTGATGAATCAGTAGATATTGAATGTGTTTTTGCTGATGTGGAATAATGTGAGATAAGACTGACACCTCATCTAATTATGAATGGAAAATCATGTGTGTGTGTGTGTGTGGTAAGCAAACACCCATGCATGTTGTGCTGAATATTTCCAGTTCAATGTCCAAATTAATTTATGTTTTTACAACAGCTCATAATTTCGAGAGCATCTGCACTCTACTGATTAACATGTGTGATTCTGTTTGGACACATTCTCTATGTATTCTAACTGATAAATGCCTCAAATCTACACTATTAATGTTCCTTGAAAGAGATCATTTACTTTAAATAATAATCAAGTAAACTAGCTTTGTAAACGAGCTATTTAAATAATGTTGTTTGATTTTTATTTAGTTTTTTTTTGTGTGTGTGGGGGGGGGGGGGGGGGGGGGTGTATCATACTATATTAAAATACGATAATGACAGTGGTTAAAATATATTTGAATGTGTTTAGTTTCATTTAACCAATTAACCATTTAGCTCACTTAACTGTAAACCTACACTACCATTCAAATCAGGATCAGTAAGATTGTTTTCAGGTTTTTGAAATATGTCTCTTATGTTAGGCTGTATTATATGGGCAAATGCAATATTTTTACAATTTAAAATAGCTGTTTACTATGTGAATAAATAGCTAAATGAAATTTATTCCTGTGATATTCAGCATCATTACTCCAGTCTTCAGTGTCACATGATCCTTCAGAAATCACTCTAATATGATGATTTGCTGCTCAAGAAACATTTATGATTATTATCAATGTTGAAAACATATTTCTGTGGAAACAGTGATACATTTTTTTTTTCCAGAATTCTTTAATGAATAGAAAGATCAAAAGAACAGCATTTATTTGAAATATAAATCTTATAAAAGTCTCCACTCTCTCTCTTGATCAATTTAATGCATCCTTGTTAAATAAAAGTATTAATTTTGTTGAATAACTTTTGAACGATAGTATAAACTAGACCTGACACACATAACTAGTACAGTAAAGTAGGTAACCAGTTAAAATAAACGCTAATATAAAGTGGGCCCATATAATGTTTATATGGTGTTAATACATATTTTCACCAAGTTGCAACCTTCGACCATTCAACCTCTCTCTCTTAAATCCAACACTGAAGTGACTTAAACTGCAGTTCATCCACTGGCCACTAGAGGCCGGCTGCAGAAGAGAGTCAATCCCATAGACCGCCATGTTAAAATTCCCAACTTTACAGCAGAAAAAACATGTTTACAGCCTGGTGCAAAAAGTGGTTTTGGTCTATAAAGCTAATTTTGCCCTTCATGATGACTGTGAGGGGGGTGAATATTTTTGTAACTCATCCGTTTAAATTATATTAAGCCTTAAAGTTCTGCATAATTAAGGGCGTGGCCACTTGAGTGACAGGTGGATTGCCGCTGATGTCACTACTAGCGGTTTGTCTGCGGTCTGTTAGCATCACGTCACCTCAGCTAATCCGCCTCTCTTCCCAGTTTCGTTTATCCGGGAGTGGTTCGGCCAAGATGGCGATGGCCGGCTCCGCCCACTTTGGGCTTCAAAAATGCCTTTCAGAAACATACGGGTGACGTCACAGACACTATATCCATTTTTTTTTTGTTTTTTTACAGTCTTTAATTTTCATGCACA